CATTCTCCCAATGGATGAGATGAAGCCGCCCATCAATGTCTCAGAAATGCTGTGATCGCAGTTCGAAAATGAGCAGCAGAAGCACAAGAAGGTTTCTTTGCCCGCAAACTCCGCCTCCAAAAGCTTCGTCTGTCGTCCTTGTTTATCATCAGTAATCTCTCGTCTACAACACTATTTCTTCCCTCGGAGCTTCCTAGGCTCTGATGTCTGTCTGGCTCATGGGATCCCTCGGGCCGGGAAAAAATTTCCTGATGCAAGGGTTGACAGGAGTTTCTCCCTCCTTTTTCATCACTCGCAATCCGCTCTTCACCTCTAAGTTCATCTTCAGAAGAAATTCCACATCGATTTGATCTGGGTGTGCTTTTACGGTTCCGCCCAGAACTCGGCACCCTCGTGAGAAAACTGCCTTGCATGCATTTTCGACACTTTCTCCTTTGATAGCAGGCTGCTGCTCAGGTGATAACCCATATTAGCCTGGGCTGGCCTCATGTTTTGCCCACGCTCAGCTCCCAATGAATGAGGATAGCCTTACTCGGTAGTCATTCGGCCTTGTGCTTGAACCTTAACCTTACTGTTAAGAAGATTTGACCCCCTATTGCAGGCAAAACAGCTCGCCAAAACGATTTTCCATCACTTTTTTACTACTATTACTTTTTTCTCTTGAGGAAGATCTGAAAAGAAGCTTGCGACTTCTTCGATTATCGGATACTCAATAATTGAAGGCATTGGTCGCGATTAGATCTCCGAAGAAACTCCTTGAGTGAAGTAGCAGGACCCTTAACCACAGGTGAAGCGATACTATCACGACCTAAAGGTGCGCGCAAGGGAGCTAATGCATCGCTTAACCGCTGCGACCGCTGCCATTCGTATCAAATGCGGCATACCTAACTTCTACGCCATTGAGCATACAACGCAGCGCTTGTGTCTCTTCGTCGCACACCACGGTCGTCCTAGGAAATTTCTGTGTTTCAATGGTGCTTTATTTTCCTTCCCTCACGAGCGCCTGGCTATGCACTTCATGACTACTTTCCGACTGAAATAACACCTATCCGATTGCCACCGGTGCCTTTAGAGATGTGAAATACTAAATTTATAACATATTGATATATGGAGCAACTTGTTGAAGAAATAATGCACGAAAAAGTTTGAGCGAACATTCTGAACTGCTACTGAAAATAAAGTTTCTGTTAGACCGCGCCATCCTTGCGACGCGAATAGCGATGGAGCTACGCGATTCGCATCCAATCGCGTCGCAAATCGCTCTATCCGCACAGGCGAAGCGAGCGGGCGCCTCGCCCACCCCCAATCGATGCAGTCGGCTGCGGTATCGATCGGGCAGGACCATCGCCCGTCGCTTGTTCACTTTGCAATCGCTCTCGGCGACGGATCGCATGCAATCGCACTCGGCGACGCTCCATCGCTTGTCCGTCGCCGAGTGTGACGGCAGTCTTAAGCTGACTATCGTTTTCTAAATGTGAATTTTTTTCAGGTATGACATTCATCGAGGCGCAGGATCAAGGTCCATTTCCGGAATAGCACGACTTGATGGAATGTGTGATCCATGGAACACCTGCACATTGGCTGAAGGCCTCGATTTTACGTCAGCTTTTATTGGTACTCACGAACTGGGTCACAGGTCAGCACTATTTCCTTAACGCTTGGAAGCATATAAACATGTGAAAATATCTCAAAAGCAATCTTACCATGAGCTTAAAGAGAGACTTCATATCCAGAAGATCTTGTTTCGTTCAGAAAGTCTGATGCATGAGCATGCTTAGAAGCTCAACCTAGGCAAAAGTCGAGTGAACGATTCCCTTGATCTGCTGAAGACCCCTGGAGAACAAGCACAGATGTGGCATTTGCGTGAAAATTGGCTGACAAGGGTGCTAGGGTCTTGCAAAAAGCTGCAGCGGTTGCAGTGTTTCTCGTCGTCTGGCGCCCTCTCATCTGTTGCGCTCTCCCGCCCCGTACTCTCCTTTCCTCGCTCAGTCTCTCATTGGTTTAGCCTGGCCGCAATACATAGGTGGCGCTTTATCATTATTATCATAAGGGTCGCTTAACAACATCATTCAATACATCATTCAATATAAGTACGTACTGCAGTACTTAAGTACTTGACCTGCTGAATGAAGTGCTTTGGCCAAGTTGCCCCGTTTTTTCCGCGGGTTCAGAAACATTCCATTTGAGGGCACCCAGAAAAATTCAAAATACAAAGAAATGGAAACTCATCCTTCATTGTTTACCTACTTTGGGTGATGCGCGCCGTAGCATACGGAACCAAACCGGTTATAAATAACGCTCAAGCAGTATTTCGAGGGCCCGAACGGATGAGTAACTAATCGGCCCCTTATTTGCATGCCCAAGGTTGAAACACTTGCTGAGCACGTTCATTTTTTTCTTCCGAAATCCTCTGAAATCCTCCTGTGCCAATTTTATAATAAATTACATACTTTGCGCGACCACCAGAAAACTGTGCTACTATGAGAGGGGATTTTTTGTACGATTCAGCCATGACCTTCTGATCCCTGGCGTTTTTACAGCCCGCCTTATCCTGAAGTCTATCTATTCGTTGGGGCTCTCGAAAAGTGCGCAGATGCCGCTCGCGCTTCATGCAAATTAGGGTTACTGTGAACACCTGAAAAAAACCAATTTGATAGTTGGTTCGCACAGCTGGTGTGGAAGAAAGACTCGTAGTAGCTGGATGTCAGACTCGGCGACTGCGCAATCGCGACAGCGACAGCGCGCCCAACGCCATCCATACGAATCAATAACGAGGCGCCCCACTCGGCCGTTGTGCAGCAATGGCCCAGCGCTGTCGCGATTGCGACTCGCCAAGTCTGATATGAACTCAAGTGAGCAGAGTAAACCTACTGCAGGTCGTATCTGCTGCGATTTCGAGGTGTCGCCTATTTAAAACTTGAACGGGTGCGGTTTCGGGAGATAGGAAGCCTTTTTGAGGAGTTCTTGGCATTTTTCGTGAAGACCTGAAAACTGAGAAATCTGGGCAAAATTGACAGAATTAGAGCATTTGTCATTTCGTTATACATATTTACCTGGGCGCGGGGTGGTGGTCGGTAGTGGGTGGTAGAGGGAGCGTATCGAGGCTCCCTAAAGCGAAAGGGACGTATAACTCCAAAAACGAACCCCACGGGTGGCCGTGGTCCCGAAATATTGGAGATCTTTTCTCAAACGGCCACGTTTCTTATCGATCTGTTAGAAAACCACAGTTCTATAAAAGTTTTCTCAATTTGGTAACCTTACCATAACATGATTACTTCCTATTTCGAATACTTGTAAGTTTCAGTGTTGGAATGCGACACGATGAGCCCTACTGCCCATCAAAGCACATCATGAGCTCATCTCTAGGCCCAGGAAAAGTCACATGGTCTACTTGCTCGCTTAGGGATTACCATCAGTTCCTGCAACGACTAGAGTAAGTTTTTCTTCTGTTAGTCATCTTTAGACTTTTAAGTAGGTATATCTCTTCAGTGCCCGTGGTAAAAACTGTCTTCGAGTATCCAACATGCCCACAAAACTCGTTATTCCTACAAACACTAAGCCTGGTCAGATCTATGATGCTAATCTACAATGTGAACTCATGCACGGACCAGGTTATCAACAGGTAAGGAGAATATTTGTGCCAAAATACCTTTCTTGATTAAGTAGCTGGACGAACCTTTTCTGTCAGTAAACAGCATAATTTTTTCTAGGTTACCCCAAGACAAGACGCTTTTGATGGAATCTGTTACATGATGTGTGTGTGGACAGTCATCCTTCGGCAGAATCATTACATCTCATCCTGCTCTCGAAAGACGTTCGTATTACTACGAAATGATCTTTTAATAGCATTACATTCTTCTGCGTTCACAGCCCTAGCATTTCCATACGATTTTGGCACCAATGTGATTTTTACAAACTGAAAATATAGGGAAAATATAAAAATATTAGGGTTCTCATAGAGATCGCCTTCAGCCTTCACATCGTTCTTAGAATTTTGTCAGTGACCCGTAAACGTTTGTTAGTGCATGGCGTACACCATTTTTGACCCAATATTCCAAACTGTTTTGAGGGAGCCTACGTTTTTCTTGTGCCGGAAAAATCCAACCAGCAAACAAATCTACAGAGATGGTCCGGAACACTGCAGCGCCATTCGTGGTGTCCAAGAAACCTGTAAATATTGTGCGGCAAATAACCCCGAAGTCCTAAATTGATGCGAACGATGCTGCTGCTTGCCGCACCACACTGATGGGCGGCGCGGTTTTTGGCGGGGCGTGGTGGGTTCAGGCATAGGTCTCAAGGCGCTGCCTACTGGCTTGAAACCCACAAAATGGCCAGCCCTGGCTTTCTTCCGTCACCTGGGCTTCAATTGGTTCCAAAACCTTCCGATGTGCCACCCACTTTATACGGCATACCGCCTTTATTTGGGGATGTTAGTCCTCGATATCAAAGCCAGAATTCATATGCCTTCATGTGCAATGACCGACGGCTCTAACTGCAGTGTTATCATCTTTATTATCGGACGCCTCAACTACTTCGTCTTGATGCAAAACCATTGTTTTGACACTTTCAGGGAACAGTTTGCAGCGGCAAGCAAAGTTGGATGCCAACTGGCCGTTGCTGCTACCTTGGAGTGAAGAACGTTGCATCGCACTACCCAGCCACCTAGCAAACAGTTTAAACTTCTCCACTGTTCATACTCCGGCTCCGTTCATGGACAGACCCAAACAGTAGAGTGGAGAATTATGCAGAACTTTTGTTAAGATTTTCCAGGATAGTGTATGCGACCATTAACTGTATATAATTCATTTGTACCAGAGATGGGGCTGTGGTTGGCGTGTAGGCCGTTTAGCACACATGATCCAAGGATCGTTTCCGAGTCAAATCCCGTTCAATGGCCCTGAACACGATGGCTGAAGGGAGTTGCGCTTTTGGTAACGTCGTTCGATTGCATTGATGGACTAGGCCCTCAGCCGCTGAGTGATGTCATCTCGAACACACCTCCAATGCGCTTCCTCAAATCACGCTCGATGACGTCACTGAAACCGCTCCGCCCTCCAGCCATCATGTTCACTGCCTTTAAATCAACTGAACCTTCCTCCCCTCGGGGTTGAGCAATTGCTATCAGATTTATCTAGAAGGGTAGTAACACTGAACTTTTCATCAGCTTGGACCAAAAGCCATTATGTAGGCAGAACACGCCACCATGATGCTAGATAAAACCCGGCCATATGGAACACAAAACGGGATTTAGGAGAGCCTTTCTTACTTAATCCTCCAATTACCTTAACTTCTTATAAACCACAATGATTCTTAATGAAACGCTGAAACAAATACATAATGTTTGTAACTCTTGTATGCCCATGCAAAACGTGTTTTTTCATGTTGTAACTTTAAGAAAGTGGATGGCGGGTATTCGGCGTGGTCAACCTTGAACTGCAATCAATGTACGTGCAATCCTATAATTGATGGAGTCGGCCTGGCCATTTCGCGAAGGACCTGCTCTAATCCGTACCCTGCCAACGGTGGAGACGATTGTGTTGGATCCAACATACGCGCTGTCATCTGCAACAAATCATGTCCGAAGCAACAACGAAGCGTTGATGAGGTAAGAAAGTAGACGAGATATGTGGTTTATTGACGATGGAGAAGTGGCTTTGAAAATTATCGGATGTACGGATATGCTGCCTTGCCATCTGATTGATCTTAAAGGCACAGGTCACGATCGATTTCCATTCCAAAACAGTACATCAGCTAATCCTAATGGGTATTGAGAGGTAAAAGACGATTTTGCAGAAGTATAAAGAGAAAGACGCGCCCACTGTTAAGGAAGGCCAGCCTTGTAGTTGACCATGCGATGGCGCTATCGTAGCAAAAGGAGCACCTGTAGCGATGCAGCA